AGAATTTCTGACCAAAAAATCATAAGGCTATTGTATATAGCCTTATGATTTATATATTGTATTGTAATTAGACATGCTAAAACAGAATTTGGTTACAATAAAACATAAGGTTGGAAAAATAAAACATTTCATAGGGCCCTAAACATGTAATATTTGTTCCTATTTTTGTAAGAAAAACATTTTAATTATGATTATAATTATTTATTTCATTATAAATAGGAAAACACTGAATTTGAGACACTTTTAATAAATTGCTGTTAACTGCTGTATAAGTAATTGCTGTATGAGTGTCATGATTTCAAATTATTACACATGCTTTTTGATTAATAAAATTTAATTTAACCATTAAAAAGGAGTCCAGAAAAAAAAAAAAAAAACGTAAATCTAGGGAAAACACTGTACTGTATAAAATTTATATTCAAACTGAAAGCATAAATCTAGGCTAAAGTTTTCAAAGCTTTCAAAAGGCAAAACTGTGACATTTCATTCACTGGCATCTACAATCGGCAGCTTACTTGCCGGCAACCCGCCAAAATAAAAACTTGCTGATTTTAAGTTTGAAAATTAAAAATTAAAATAATTCAAATTAAAAATAATAATTAAGGTTCAAATTATAATAGTAACAAAAATAATAAAAATATTAGCATTTTATTTTTAAGTTTACTATAAAATAATTGTATTTGTATTTAATACTCCCTTTTTATTTTAAAATAAAATAGTATTATCACATTTTATTATTTAGTTTATTATTTTATTTAAAAAAACTAAAAGTGCAATAATATTATCACTATTTTTAATTTATTTGTTTATTGTTATATTTGATGGGTCACACCATGTGCCGCCGTGTGAGAACCAAACCAAATCTCCAGGTCTCATAAGAGAACCAGGCTGAAAAACGTATGTGCACCCCCCTGGTTATAAAGTTAAAGTTATAAGGGAGGTACACACTCCGGTTTAGTCAAACTAAACACTCTGAAAACAAGGAAGTCCACATCTTCTATCTCTCTCCTGGCAGGTTCATGTAAGAGACATGCTTATATGAATATGTGCTGGAATGTCGAGGGGTGACAGTGAGCTGTGAATTCTGACCACGAGCTTTGCATATTTGGGGCCTTCGAAAAGTATAAAAGCTTTTTCCAGTGGCAAGCAAAGAAAGCACTAGAGCAAGTAAAATAATATAAGGCAGGATAAAATCCTATTTGATGCACCTGATCAGCCAAGGATGGTAAATCAATAATAACAATTCTTTTTTAAAATATTTTTTATTTGTTTTTAACATACTGGGAACCATTGATAGCATGTACAATATTCTACAATCGTAGGTATGAAAACAAGATTTTACACAGTCATCATTGAAAAATAATTATTTTTATAATCAGCATTTTATTGTCAGTAATAATAATAATAATAATTTATAAGAATAATCAACCTCATGACATTAATATTATTATTACCTATATAATAATATAACATAACCCATATAATAATATAACCTTTATAACAACAATAATTATTACTATGATTATGAAGTTGAATATTGTAAGAAAATCTTATTACTCTCATTAAACTCATCCATTTTTTTAAAGATCTAACTGCAGTCTCTCCCTAAATCAATGCATTGGTTGGTAAAATAATCATTATTTTATTCTCAATATTAATAATAACAATCATTCACTATTGTTATTATTATTACTGACAACAATTATTATTATTGTTGTTAATTTTATGAGCTGAATATTGTTAGACAATCTTTACTTTTATTAAACTCAAATAATTGAAAGATTATTCTAATCTTTATAAATAATAAATAAAAGAAAATAACTGCATTCTCAGCTAAATCAAAGCACTTCAGTTTCAAGCCTGCCGATTCAATTTGACGCTGTCAAACTTGGTGTCAGTAATCACCATGCTGAGTCTCTCGACATGACATTAGCTTGCACTTCAACCAAATGCACCAAGTAAAATGAGCAACAACCACATTGCAAGCATCCAAATTAAATCTTTTGACCTCACTATGCAGATCTGTATTTCACCGTATGAAAAAGAGAAAAGATCAAATGCGTGTCTAATCACTCGAAAAGCAGTTTGTGTAAACGCCACATCTTTTCCACCTGTCTGGTAAACTAACCCATATATCTGAGCAATGTTTATGCATATGGTTGTTTAGATCAAGTAACCTCTAGCTGGATCAGCCCCGCCACATGATCTTTACTCAACAACAACAAATGTAAAACACGAACGCATTCCAGTTACCTGTTTAGTCCGTTCTCCTCTTAAGTTACAGATGCTCGCTGAACTTTGAGAAGGCTTGGAGGATGGTGTTTGCTGGCTAATACTGCCAGACGGAGCGATTAGTTATGCATTCAGTCAGATGCAAATATTTCTACAAGCCCAGCGCCTACGACTGAGCTTGCATTTGAGAGGTAAGTGGAGAAAAGCGCAGTTCATCTTATTCTGACAGAATAAGTCCGTTATTGTGGTGCTATGTGTCCGTTAAACCTTCCAGTTGAAGCCTAGCTAAGCTAACGAGGTTAGCGGGCTAATTTCAGTAGCTATTTTAAAACCAGGACGCAGTTTTTCTCCATTAAACTCCGGGTGTTGACGATAAGCTATTTCTTTATTCCCTCCCGGAGCTGCAGTGCTGCTGTCGTCCAAGTCAAATGACAGCATGTTTGTGTGTTTAATTCTCGCGTTGATCTCTCCCCACCGCCATTTTCATCCTCGAGCTACACAAACAAACAGGAGGATCGCTCACGTCACGCAGAAGGTGCGCGACTGCGCTGATCTCTATGGCATAGTTTGAGGCGGTTGCTTAGCGACGCATGACTTGGAGATCTGATTGGTTACGCAGGTTTGTGTGCGATTGAGGAATCACTGGGTTGCGTAGTGTATGGACGTACAATGACGAGGCCCAACAGTGTAGGCTAGAGCAGTGTTTCTCAACCAGGGGTCCGTGGACCCCTAGTGGTCCTTGACATAAGGCCAGGGGGTCCGTATAAAGTATGAATTTTTGTATAAATTTTGTATATTTTGACATGACATGTTCCCATGAAAGAAAAATCCAATATAGCTGATGATTAGGCCAAATACTGGACAAGTCAGCTAACTTGAATTATACTTGACTGCATTTGGTCCTCACAAAGACACAAATGATACGGCTAGAGCATAGATGTATATACGTAGACGCCAGCGACTATTTTTACGGGCCGCTATACGTATCAACTTGACGTCATTCTATGAAGGTATTTTTGGTGCAAAACAACTGACGCTCAGTTGTTTTGCACCAAAAATACCTTCATATCATTCACCATAGTAATCACTGAATATTCGAAAGATGCCACAATCCTGCACAGAACGGCTCAACGGCTCTGTAAGAACCTACAGTATGGTGAATGACGTCAAGTTGACCGTTCCAAGATGGCAGTGGCATCTACGTGCCTGGAGCCGTCGAATGGGGAATCTATACATATCTAGGAGTTAAACACCCTAATCTGTAGGAAGATCAACAAGAAGGTCTTTTTGTACGCTATTGGCCAGTTGTGGTTACTAACTTACTCCATCTCCCTAAACTTGTATTTTGAGTGTGATTCATTGCAGAAAACACACAAGATAAAGATACATTTAACTTGAATTTAATTTGTTGTTGTTTTTTTAAATTTACAAAATAATTATCTTTAAAAAAGCATCATATGACCCCTTTAAAACTTTAGTTTGACTATCCATAAAATATATTTCAGATAGTTACAATTGTAATTCGGCTAGTCATAATTATAATTTGACTAGTCAGAATGATAATTAGAGATATCTGCATTTATAATTGCACTAGTAAGAAATCTGATTAGAGATATATCTAAATACTTTATGACTAGTCAAAACTCCATTGAAGATATCTGTAATTACGTCATAGATATCTTCAATAGACGCGTCACATATACGCAAAGGTAATTAGAGATATCTCTAATTCAGTTTCGACTAGTCACAATTATATTTTAAGATATCTGAATTGTACCTGCTCCTAGTCGATTCTGCTGATGTGTGACGTGAGACTAAATTTACTCAGCTCCTCCCAGAGCACCTCCCTGCCTAATGTTTCGTGCTAACTGCTAACAACATATATAAGTCTGCTTTTGTTGTCACGGAGAGAAAAGCTACTGGATAAAGTGCTTCAGGGATTATTAAATAATATCTGGATGCAGCCATATGTGGTAAAAGGTCTTCAGCGTGCATGTATGTATAGCTCTGTGATTTTAATTGAACCATGGTGCAAAACAGAACTAATGTTCAATAAATGCAGAAAACCGCAAACTGCTCGACTGAATTTATTTATTATATATTTAGACATAATGGAGAACAATGGAATTATACAACAAAAACATGAAAAATAGTACAAATAAATGCATGACGGACAAGAACGATGCTTCATAATATCTCGCAATTCTGAGAAAAAAAGTCAGAATTGTGAGGTAAAAAGTCGCTATTTGTTTATTTATTATTTTTTTATTTAGTGGCGGAGCGCTTCCATAGGAAGTAGCCCACAAGGTGGGAGTATTGTATTGTATTAAAGCAAGAGATCCATGATGATGATATTCTGCTGTGTTCAATGATGAGCGCCAATGTATTCTTTTAACATTATATCAAATGTTGCAACAGCTGACATGAGGCCTATACAAATCCTTAGCTACTGATTTTACATGTGTTCGTTTGTAAATAAAGTCTAACACAATTTAATCCACAGCACACACGTCTCAACATTACGATATAGAAAAGGACAAAAGCCTATCAGAGTCCTCTCTGTATAGCCCACATGCTCCAGCTACATTTTTATTTCCATACTTTTGAATTACTTCTGTATAAAACAGTTTAAAATGACCTAAAGACGCAGGACCTTTATTATACAACTCTTAGACAAAATGACGGCTGACAACAGTTTCCAAGGTAGGATTGATTAATAAAATGTTTAAGGTGGGGCTAAGCAAAGGTGCATTTGCATGCACATTTTAGATATCTATAAAGGAATTTTGACTAGTCACATTGTTAATTCCAGATATCTACATTGAAATTCTTCCTAGTCACAAAGCTAAATGCAGATATCTCCAAAGAAAGATCTAACTAGTCAAAAATCAGATTGAGATATCCATAATTAAATTGCAGATATCTTTAAATGAGTTTTGACTAGGAAGAATTCCAATTCAAGATATCTCTTATTAAGTTTTGCCTAGTCAAAAATCCAATTCAAGATATCTACAACTGTAATTTGACTAGTAATAAATTACTTTCAGATATCTACAAATGTATTTTGGATATCTTTAAGAAATCATGAATTAAAGATATCTGCAATATGATTATGACTAGTCAAACACCAGTTAGAGATACCTTGAATTATAATTTTTACTAGTGTTAATTCAGTTAGAGATATCTCTAATTTAATTACCACTAGTAGAGTTGTAATTTGAGATATCTCTAATTAGAGTTATGCCTAGTACAAAATCAAATATAGATATCGTTGATTACAATTTCTACTAGTCAAAACTCTTTTGTAGATATCCGAAAATATTTTCCAATGGAAGTCAATGGAACAATACGACTAGTCGTAATAGCATTGTAGATATCTCGAATGCATATAATGACTAGTCATAATCACATTGTAGATATCTTAATTCCAATTACGACGAGTCAAAATTGCAGAATAGATAACTGGAACTGGAATTTTGACTAGTCAAAACTAAATTATGACTTGTACAGCAAGGAGTATTTAATGCTAAAATGGCTTGCCATATATCTATGGGCTAGAGAGCGCGGTCGCTCAGGGTATGGGGGCCTGAACACCAGGGGGCCCCCTTGCTTTCAAAGATGATTTAATTTTAGTTTCGTTTTTGAATTTGGCCAGCGGTTATGAAAACATGAATGATAATTTATTTTAATGCGGTGCACTGTCGCCCTTTCTACGTAAAAATCAGTCAAATCATGTAATGTGAATGTCGTAGTCTTGCTCGAGACTAAAAAAACCAGTTGAAAGTGAATCGAATTTACAGCGATTCGAGACGGAGTGAAACAGACAAATGCGTTTCATTGATTCGTTCATAACCATTCATACCCCACTCCACCACAGATATCATATCACTTTCACAGATATCAATAATTCCAAATTGTGTATTGAATTAATTGAGTAAATATGAACGCAGAGGAGAAATCCAGAGGGAAGGAGAAAGCTTGATAATTTTGGCCAGATTGAGGATATAAAAACAGGCCAAAAATAAAAGCAAAGTTAAAAAAGTGTGAATGTTTGATTAACACCCTGCAGACCGGAGGTGGGACAGCTTATTAGACAGGAAGATTTTTTGTTATGACGTTGTCATCATAATGTAGTACGTGATCATTTTCCTATTTGCAGTAAAGTGGGAGTAGATATAGCTCAAAAGGTGGGGGAAAGAATACCAAAGTGGAGGTTTAAATCAGCCAACTGGGATAAGTATAAGGAGGTATGTGAAAGCAAAATGAAGGAAATTAGTAATTTTATGATAGATGTCTATGTTTTTAATAATAAAATATGTGAGGTTCTTCAGAGTACAGCTGTAGAAGTAATAGGTAAGAAGAAGGCAAGCAGCAGGAGGAAAGCTGTGCCATGGTGGAATGAGGAGTGTAATGAGGCAATTATAAGGAGAAATAAAGCCCTCAAGAGGGTAAGAATGTCACTTAACTTTAATGATTTAGTTTATTATAAAAGGGCACAGGCTATAGTGAGAAGAGTAATTCGGACTTCTAAAAGAAATTATTGGAGGGAATTTTGTAAAAGTATTGGTGAAGACATTGAAATTAATGAAGTATGGAGTATGATAAGAAAGATGGGAGGGATACAAATAGATTGCAACATACATGGTTTAATATATAATAATAGACAAATTTGATCTGAAAGCGGAAAAGCAGAGGTGTTTGCAGAAACATTCGTTAAAGTGCATAGTAACTCAAATTTATCAGAGGATTTAAAGAAAAATAGGGACCAGATTCTAAGTAAATAGCCTAATTTATTGGAGAATAAAGGACCACCTGGATGTACGTTGGATTCAGAATTAACCTGGTATGAACTGAAAAAAGCGCTTGCAGGGGTTAAACAAACTTCTCCAGGCTGAGATGACATCCGTTATGAGATGGGAAACCATCTATCAGAAGCATCATTAGATTTAATCTTGAGCCCTTTTAATAAGGTTTGGGAGTCAGGAAAGTTACCAGCTGACTGGAAGCATGGGATTATAATGCCAGTTGCAAAACCAGGCAAGGACCATACGCAGCCAACTAACTACAGGCCCATAGCTTTAACATCTAATTTGTGCAAACTGATGAGTAGACTGGTATATGTCATTGAGAAGAAAAATGTCTTATCACCATACCAAAGTGGTTTTAGAAAAGGGCGTAACACAATGGATACTTGGAATCTGAAATGTTTTAGTCGGGGTATTTTTGATGTTGAAAAGGCCTATGATATGATGTGGAAAGAGGGACTTTTAATTAAATTAGATTAAAGGAAGAATGTATAACTGGATCAGGAATTTCTTGTTCAATAGAACTATACAAGTAAGAGTGGGTATACTGCTTTTTCTCAGATACATACAATAGAGAATGGAACACCTCAGGGTAACGTTAGCAGTCAAATTCTGTTTAATTGAATGATTAATGACATTTTTACAGTTTACAGATTGTTGTATGCAGATGATGGTGCGTTGTGGAAAAGTGTATGCAGACTGCTGTTAATAATGTAGAGAATTGGGCTAATGAATGGGGTTTCCGTTTTTCTGTAGCAAAAACTCAGGCGATATGTTTTGCTAAAAGAAGAATCAATTCTACAGTTAGTATTAAAATGTATGGACAAGAGTTGGAGCAAACATCAGTTGTTCGTTTTCTAGGAATATGGATGGATTTGAAACTGAATTTTAAAATCCAAATATCCAGAAGTTGGTGGACAAATGCAAAAAGGCGTTAAATGTCATGAGATGTCTAGCGGGAGTTGATCGGGGAGCTTGCTGACAGTCCCTTAAAAGAATATATTGTGCTCTGATAAGATCGGCTATTGATTGTGGTAGTATAGTATATAGCTCTGCATCTAATACACAACTTTTATAATTAGAGGCAATACAATCACAAGCAATGAGAATTTGTTGCGGAGCTCTTAGATCATCCCCTTTATCAGCAGTTCATGTAGAGATGGGCGAGATGGTTGATCCATTGGTTGGCACCGGCCCCCCCTGAAATTTGGCTGGCCACCCCAGGTGCCCCCCCCCTACCAGATGTCTTGCCATAGGCTTGTTTTTAGTAAATTTCTAATTTTAGGCGGTTTCTATAGTGTGAGCTTAATGACAATGTCGAGAGCGCATAATGTTACGGTGATCCATGTGCGCGAAGACGAATCTCTCCACTCCCAAGCGGATTTCCTTCACTCACACAAAACTGGACGTGTGCTTTTAACATACATCGTTCCGCAAACAATGGAGATTGTGACAAATGTGGGTTAGCAGAAACTGTAGAACATGTACTTATAAAATGTGAGGCTTATGAAAGAGAACGTTTCCAGCTAAGTCAAGCTTTAAGATATTTGGAAATAAATTATCTGTCACTCCAGGTTCTGTTAGGAGATGGACCGCTATCGAGAATTAGTTTATTATTATTATTATTTAAAGGAAACAGGATTGATTAATAGGATTTAGGATGCCGGGGTTTGTTGTGTTTTTTTTTTTTTTTCTTGCAAGTAGTTCTTGTTTCTAAACTTCCTATCCATTGTGAGCACACTCCTTTCCAGTAGGTGGCGGGAATGCACCTTTAATTTGCTCGCCAACCGCCATTAAATCCTAAAAGAAGACGAAGAAGCCACGTCATCTCCGCGCGACAGCAAACGCGATGGCAGAGTCAGGGTGCGTATTTGGACTTTACAAAAAAAATCCTAAACAATCGGCGATGAACATCTGAAAGTTTCTTTCATATTTTTCATTTTTAGTACTTATGGGATGTCGTTACTTTTTTATTATAGTTATTTTTTTACGGATGGTGTGTAAAGAAAAGTTTACGGGGGTTTAGTAGAGCTTGTTTTCACTGGAGCTACAGCCTCTCTGAACTGATGTCAGAGGCCATATTAATACTCCTGATAAGTCCTGTTTGTTTTCAACTCTTCTCTTTAGTACTAACAGTTTTTTTGATACTGTAATGTGTAGATATTTGTTTTAGATGTGAAAATGCGGAATTTGTTGTTGTGGCGTTAAGGAAGTTGGCAGTATGGAGAAAACTTGCTCGAGTTTATTTGCATTAACGTTATGATATTCAGCATTAGTTTTATTTAAAAAAATGCACGTTTATGTCTTTTGACCTCACGATCCCATATGTGACGATGGCTAGAGAGGTAGTCGAGGACGCATTGTGATCGGATCTGCCATGTCCACACTAGTGTTACGTTCGTGAACGAATCGTTCTTTTTGAACGAATCTTTTTGGTGAACGAATCGTTCTCGTTCACGTAATCCATTGACTCATATTTCTCGTTCACTTAAATATCTCCCTCCAGAGCAGCGCGGCGCTATTGGCAGCGCATGCGCAGATCAGTGAACCGGGTAGCTCTGTGGACTGTTTCATCCTGTGTTGCCAACTGCTTTCAATTGAAAGTAGCTAAAACTGGTAGCTAAATGTCACTAGATGACATCACAATGGCAAATTCACTGATCTATATAAAGATGAATGTAGATCAGTGGGCAAGATGAGAACTTAGATAAGGTTTGGCCAAGCAGTTGCTATATTTGTCCCTAAACTGTTGAAAAAAGTCTCAAAAGGGGCGGGGAAGTCACTAAATCTAGCTACAAAGTAGCTAAATTGGCAACACTGGTTTCATCCTGTCAAAGAATGACTAAACCTCGAGTTTGAGATGTGACGGAGCATGTGATTTGTTGAATGTAGTGAACGAATACGCCCTTCACTGAACAAGTTTCTTTTGAGTCTGAACGAGATCAAGAGATCATCTCGTTCGTGAACGAGATGACCGAACTGATACATGTCGTTCGTGAATGAAATGACTGAACTGGTACATATCTCGTTCGTGACCGAAATGAATGAGAGTGTACCGGGTCAGTCGGCCATTTAGCATGTCAGCAACGATCAGCAATCAGCAGAAAGCGGATGCAAAGCACAGTTATAGGTACTGTGCACATAAACTTGTTTATATATTCATATTTAGCATACAGAACATAACTCAACATTTAATCCCCGATTTATGAATGTGTAAATGTCTGACCAAACAAATACAAATGTTAGTTATGCAAGAAAACCTTGTGCTTTGGTCATCTGAACAACTTATTTAGACTTTATCTATTTAATGAGTAGATTATGCACATGTTTTAATAAAGCCAAATCATTTTGTTTTGGTAATAAGTGAATACGTTCGTTGACTTAAGACAACAGATAAGACACTCTTTTTCGCCACCTGCTGGCGTATTTATGTAATATGAAGAAATCTCTGAACGAATCATTTTGGTGAACGAACTGAAAATGAACGAATCTCTTGAAAGAATCAAAATTTCCATTATAAACAGAGTTTTTCCTTCCGTTTTTAAAAAAATCTCTGTCCACATGAAAACGCAATCGTATGCTATGAAGCACTGCCAAGAGCATGCCAAACCAACAGGTGGCGATATAATCTTAACTGTAAAGCCATGTTTACGGGGAAGTCGTGGCCTAATGGTTAGAGAGTCGGACTCGTAACCCAAAGGTTGCGGGTTCGAGTCTCGTACATGTTGGCCAATCAGAAGCCTGAAGAAGTCTCCAGTAGGCGGAGATAACAGCGCAGGCGCCGACGTCACAACCCAAAATCTCCTCTGTTTCGTTGTCTACACGATAACTCTGCAACTGGAGTTTTTGAAAATCTTCACCCTGGCAGGAGTTTTCAAAAATGTTCGGTTTCAATGAACTGGTGCTGCGCTTGCGTGTGGACGAACAGCCTAATCGCGTAGAACAAGCTGCGGTAGGGCTGCACGATTAATCGCATGCGATATTTAACGCGCATCTTGTCAGAAAGCCGGTTCTGTAATCAGCGGTACAGAGCCGTTGTTCACTGACGAGCTGCGCTAAACCACGTTCATATTCGCGCGATTTTTTGCGCTGCTCATCAGTGAACAACGGCTCTGTGTAGTTAATGCTGCTCAATGTGAAAGCCCGCAGGTGATGGAGATTTACGCTGATTACAGAACCGGCTTTCTGACAAGATGCGCATTAAATATCGCATGCGATTAATCGTGCAGCCCTAAGCTGCGGTTTTAAAAATAACCGCGTTCGTGTGGACCGTGATCTGCTTGATCAGATCACGGTGATCGCATGTTAATGCCAAGTGTAAACGCAGCCGATGAAGCGCTTAAATCTGACTTTATAGGGTTTATGCTGGACGTCACATAATAGCTATGGGCTTTTAAGGTTATCAGCTAACCTGTGCATTTTGACTGTTGGCATTTTATTTCATTTTAATATTCATTTCATAGTGACATCGGTTATGCTCCACTTTGGTACATCCTTTGAAGGGGTTAAACAGCTCCATATTTAATGTACAAAAGATCAGAACCGGACAATAATATATGTAGATTAGGTACATTTGTATGTTTTTAATAAGTAACTAACAACGTTTCGTTTACATCAGTGGTTCCCAATTGTGGTTCTGGAGAACCCTCAACACTGCACATTTTTTTTTCATTAATGAGCTGATGAGTTGAGTCAGGTGATTAAGGAGAATGTGCAGCTTTGGGGGTTCTCCAGGACCAGGATTAGGAATCAATGGTCAACTTTTGGTAACCACAGAGCTTATTTTACTCATAAATTGAAAAACCCTGTTATAAAACCCCATAGGAAAATCTTGAGGGAATCCAGGGTGAATTAGTCTTCTAGGTTTTGATGTCATTCATTCCTGCAGAACTGCAAAGCACAACATCAGAGGAGTCTTAGTAGAAAAGTTAGGTGGAGATTTTTTTTTTTGTTGTTGAATTATCAACAGCAATATGTATTTAATATAAAGACAACAAACAAAGTGAGTTTTGCTTATGTATGACATGACATTTAGTTACTTTGCTGAATTCCTTAAGGGGGTTTGTGGCAAAGTTTAAAAACAATAACAATTCCTATCATAATGCAGGTGTACTATGTACTTGGGGTTATATCGAAACAGAAAGTGCCCAGTTTTAAGCATATCTGTCCTTTTTATTTTGTACATTTAGAATGAATTCTTAATAAAAAAAATTGTGCATATTTAATGTCTTTTGTTCAGAACCGAGAAAGTAATCAAGCTTGTTCCTGAGAATCTTCTCAAGAAACGCAAGGCGTACCAGGCTATCAAAGCTACTCAAGCCAAACTTGCGTTACAGCAGAAGAGAAAAGTGAGAATTCCTCCTTTGTAACCTGCTGTTATAGTCCAATTATTGCTTCAGAAAAAAATTGAAATTGTGAACTTCACCAGGTCCAAAAAGGAATTCCCTTGAAGTTTAAGCGCTTGGAGGAGTTTTTGAAAAACAGCAAGAGGAGGAATCGAGATGAGACACGACTCGCCAGACTCAAACAGAGACCTCTGCCGCCCATGCCCCCAGCAAAGAACAGCCTGGTGTTTGCTGTCCGCATCAGAGAGTATGGTCAACTTATTCATCATTCATAATGAGGTTAAAGGGGTAGTTCTCCCAAAAATGACAATTCTCTCGTCATTTACTCACCTTCATGTTATTCTACACCTGATGGAACATAAAGTGCATTAGACTCAACCAACATTCATTCTGTGGACAAAACCAGTAAACAATTGGTCAAAATATCTACTTATGTGAAATGATTGAAAGTAAGATGAATGAGTGAAATAATTTGAATTTTTGAGTGAATTGTACCTTTCCACATCTGCTTGAATATGTTTTTAATTTTCTCGCATGATTGCTTGTTAGGATCAAAGGCGTGAGCCCCAAAGTGATGAAGGCCATTCAGATGCTGAGGCTGAGGAAGATCTTTAGTGGCACCTTTGTGAAAGTCAGCAAGGCTTCTATAAAAATGCTTAAGACAGTGGAACCTTATGTTGTGTGGGGGTGAGTAATCATATAATGGTCATTTAACATGAAAAACATCTGAATAGGTTTTAAAAACACCAGATCTGCAGATTGGCTTTGACTTTCAGCAACTATTGTTGACTCATCCACACTAAATCAGGACAAAAACTGAGCAAAAGTCATGTGGAATATTCCAGGTTTTTAGATGTATTTTTTTTTATTTAAAGAGCTGGCAGTGTTCTGTCTTTTATTGACTTTCACTTGTTTGATTTATTGTTGTGATCTCTTAACAGATATCCCAATTTGAAATCAGTCCGTGAGCTCATATTAAAAAGAGGTCTGGCGAGGATTGACAAGAGAAGGATTCCTCTGACCGACAATACACTCATAGAGCAGCATCTCGGTAAGTCATTGACATGGTAGATGCATTTCATTCAGTGGGAGATTGGGCATTTTGAGGTACCTAACAAAACGTTAAGAATGAACTTTAACAAGCAAAAGGATTCATGTAATAAACTTTTGCATGGAGGTTTTTTTTTTGTTTTTTTTTTAAACGAGGCAGTGAACCTGGTAGCAATCCTTTGTGGAAAATGGGAATTTGTGTAAATATTCGAAATGCACAGAAGTAAAATAAATTCTTTGATATTCTGTGATGGTATAAGTGTCTAACAGTCTTTCATATTCATACTGACGATTAAACATTTTAATGAAATGTATATTCTGAACGGGTTTCTTTTGTTTGTATCTCAAGGACAATATGGGATCATCTGTTTGGAGGACCTTATTCACGAGATCTATTCTGCTGGAAAGAACTTCAAGGTGGTAAACAACTTTCTGTGTCCGTTCCGTTTGTCAGTACCAAGACATGCTGCTAAAGACAAAGTTGGACTGCTGAAAGATGTTGGTGATCCTGGACCCAGAGCCGAAGACATAAACACAATCATCAGGAAACTCAACTGAGCTAACAGACTTTTATGGACTGCTGTTTTGTCACCATATTTCCTTGACTGTAAAGGTTATTGTCTATAATTTTTATTAAACGATTGAAAATTTCACACTTTTTTTTCATAAGCTTTTTTGAAAATAGGTTATTTTCAGAAGTAATTATGTACCTATGCTCCATTCCCTTTTAGCGGTCACACTAAACTTTTCGTTCTACTGACTTCCATTTGTACATATGTGAATTTGGAAGAGCAGAAATGCAAGCTCATGTGAAGAAGTTTCGCATTTCTTTGTGTTCCAAAGTTTAAGTTTGGCGAATTCTGACCTGCGAATTTGTATCACATGAAAACATGTGACCAACAGAATATTGATACGTCACGGCATGACGGTGAAAGCATACATTTAAAACTACTTAAAAGTGGAGAAGGTTGTATGTTTTTACATTTTGGGTTTATTGTTATGTGGTGAATTTAAGTTTTTAAAAGACGCTGCAGCGCCTGACAGCATATCATGACAGTTGCAATGTATGAAGAAATTTTGTGTGCTCAAAGTTTAATGTGACCGGGGCTTAGCTTCATATTCATACTGAAAGCTTTTGAGGGTCAAGGTGAAGCGCTCAAAAATAACATTCAAAAAAAAATTCAGGAAGGTAGGAATTACATTAATTATAAGATAAAGTAGGAGTAATAAATTCTGTTGTCTTTATGGAAGGGAGTAAAAGAATCACCAGATGTAACTAGTCAATGTCAGTCTACCAATCACACTGAAGCAAGGGCTCACTTGTAAAGTTTGACCTTGTCAATAAACATGATTTTGCAGTGTGACATTACACTGCAATTTTTGGGCTATGCAGCACCAAAACTATGGAGTTTTTTCATGAGTGAGTTATTTTATTCAAAACCAAAGAAAAGATACTTAAAAAAAAAAAAAAAAAAAAAGATTAGTAATAATATTTAAAGAGAAAATAATTATATATATATTGTTATACCTTTATTACATCACATTATCACATTATTATTTATAAAGGATGAGATATTTGGTTTTCAAAGTGCCTATTGTATTCTGTACATTACAAACATGTCTAAAATAAAATAATTACAAACTTTTACTATATATATATATATATACAGCGGGTAAAAGGAAGTCAAGTCAAGTCAAGTCTGCTTTATTGTCAATTCTTCCACATGTACAGCACATACACACAGAATTGCTGTTGTTGAGCCATGTTTCCGTGAACACAAAAACACAACAGTCTCTTACAGTCCTCTGAGTTGAGCGTAGTAGTCGGATGTAGTCCAGTTTATTGTCCAAACAGCGTACGTTAGCCAGTACGATGGTGGGGATAGCTGGCTTGTGTGGGTTAGCCGCTAGCCTAGCCCGGATACCTCCGCGCTTGCCCCTCTTCTGCTTCCTCTCACGCCGCTTGTGGCGCCTCCGCTGTGGGCGAGATGCAGTAGTGGGGGTCGGTGATGGTGTGGGCCTCCGGAGCAGACCGGAGTATTGAACACCACCATTTTTCTCAGTAAATATATTTCTATGGTTCTGTTGACATGAAGTTTTCACCAGATGCCGGTAACAATCCAGGTAATCCATGCATACAAAGAAAACAAAACAAATAAATTCAGAAATTAAGTTCTGTGTAATAAAGTAGAATGACATGGAAAAAGTATTGAAAACATGAAGGAAGGGAGGTGCAAAAAGGCATGAAAAGCCAAGACACCAGCTGAAATCTAATCAGTCATCATCTTTAGCTGAAGTCTATCAGTAATTAGAAAGCAATCCTGCCCCTTGTCAGCGGAAATTAATATTAGCTGGTTCAGTCCCAACTGATGGCCTATAAAAAGGTGTCTCATGAAACAACGTGTCACACAAGAAACATTTCATGATGGGTAAAAGTAAAGAGCTTTCTCAAGACCTTCGCAACCTTATTGTTGCAAAACCTGGCATTGGTTACAGAAGGATTTCTATACTTCTGAATGTTCCAGTGAGCACTGTTGGGGCCATAATCCGGAAGTGGAAAGAACATCATTTCACCATAAACCGGCCGCCATGACCAGGTGCTCCTCGCAAGATTTCTGTGAAAATAATTATCAGAAGAGTTGTCTAAGAGCCAAGGATCACTTGTGGAGAGCTTCAGAAAGACCTGGAATTAGCATGTACAATATAAAGTGATTCTTCTTAAAGAGGCAAACAGACACAGGAAGTGCTCGTGATACCAAGTTTTAGGCATTGTTCACATAAAGCTAGAAAGGGAAGGAATAAATAAAGAGAAAGACAAAGTTTTTTTTAAATTTAGGATGAAGTCAAATAGCGTCGAAAGAGATGAGTTTTCAGCTGTCGCTTGAAAATTGTCAGAGATTCAGCATTCCAGATAGGGGTGAGAAGATCATTCCACCAGCCAGGAATGGTGAACGAGAACGTTCTGGAAAGTGATTTTGAGCCTCTCTGTGATGGTACCACGCGGCGTCACTCACTAGCAGATATTTACTGAGAAAAATGGTGATGTGTTCAATACTTATTTTATCCGCTGTATATAATGATAGTAATTTGACTTTTGAGTCATGAGTTAGTTTTTTTAATAATGCTCTATTCAAGAACAATAAAATGAGAAATATTCATTCAAAAGTAAAAAAAAAAAAAAAACCTATAACAATAAACCCTTAATAAACCAGTGCCAGAGTACAATACAATAATAATAATAATTAGTAATGTTTTACATAAGTAATAATATTGAAAGAGAAAATAGTTTTATATATATTGTGATTCCTTTATTACATCACATATATGTAATAAAGGAAAATAGTTTTATGTATATAAAAGTGCCTATTGTATTCTGTACATTACAAACACACACACACACACACACACACACACACACATATATATATAATAATTTTGTAGGCTCTAATATATTTTTTACCTTTAAACTCAATAAAGCTAGAAATCATATTTAAGTCAGACCATTTAATTTTGTGAATGTGAACGTTTCTCATTAAAATACGTCGTGAGTGAGTTTTTGTTTTACATGAATGAATGACTGAATTATTAATTTTAATTTTCAACATGTATAACACATTCTGAGAGTTTTTTCCCCCTCGGGAAGTACGGATGATCACTTTATGAGAGCCGCGAGTGAGGTAGCGGCATGGTGACGTTTCAGCGTGACGTCGGAAGCACATGTGTATCAACTAGCCTTCCATACTATGGAGCGGCAACCTTTACTGTGATGTCAAGGAGAGTAGGAGAAGGGGTGGTCTGAACCGAGACTGCTTTAAGCCTTTCTCCATTCATCACTCGTTATTCATCGGATGAACTCTGACCAAGGTAAGATAATACATGATGGCTGAGCAGAATGAATGATAAGGTCGCTAAAAGGCACTGCCTAAACTGCCAGAGCACATCGCGCGCGGCAGCCTAGGCAGCTTCGTTGATTACAATGGGAGCGTTCTATTTATTTGCGTCGCAGCGTACACAAGCGTATGTTCTGGTGGGTAGCGCACGTTTTGCTCTGTCGTGACGAAACAGTGTCACCCTTTTACATCAGTATGTAATTTCCTTCAGGCATCGCGGTATTCTCCGCAGCTATTGCATGTAAAGGACACAGTCATCCAGCTACGTTGTAGCTGTCGGATGCAGCTCTTCGTAGATTTTCTTTACATCGGGTGATATCTATAACTTATCTAACTATGAATATTCGAAGCCTCTCTCTCTCTCTCTCTCTCTCTCTCTCTCTCTCTCTCTCTCTCTCT